CTCGACCGAGTCGCGGGATGTTGGTCAGGGTGACCTTGCCTGCCTCCGCCCCTCCTGTGTGCTGGGCTCACCCACTTTCCCGGGGTCGGGCACCAGCTGGGTGTCCTGGGACTGACAGCGAGCTCTCTCTCCCCTGGCCCAGGAGCGTCCTCTTCAACCCCGATGGCTGCTGCTTGTACAGCGGCTGCCAGGACTCGCTGCGTGTCTATGGCTGGGAGCCCGAGCGCTGCTTTGATGTGGTCCTTGTCAACTGGGGCAAGGTGGCTGACCTGGCCATCTGCAATGACCAGCTGGTGAGGGTTCCGTCACCCACCCACCCCCTCCCCTGCTGGGCCTCCTGGGGTCTGGCCCCACTCCACACCTGCCCTGCTGTGTCCTGCAGATAGGTGTGGCCTTCTCCCAGAGTAACGTATCCTCTTACGTGGTGGACCTGACGAGAGTCACCAGGACAGGCACTGTGACCCAGGACCCAGTGCAGGCCAGCCAGCCTCTGACACAGCAGACCCCCACCCCCGGGGTCCCCCTCCGCCGCATTTACGAGCGGCCCAGCACAACCTGCAGCAAGACTCAGAGGTGGGTGCCCATGGCCCCGGCAGGGTGTGTGTCCCAAGAAGGCCCCCGACCCCTCGGCCCTGGGCCTCACTGAGGAGCCTGGCCTCTTCTGCTTGACTGCACACGCTAGGGTAAAGCACAATTCAGAGAGTGAGCGGCGCAGCCCCAGCAGTGAAGACGACAGGGACGAGCGTGAGTCCCGGGCCGAGATTCAGAATGCCGAAGACTACAATGAGATCTTCCAGCCCAAGAACAGCATCAGTGAGGCCACCCTCCCTCCCTCCCGCCCGCCTCACAGCCCAGCGCCTTGCTGTGGCTGTGTCCCCTAAACTTTACCTGGTCTCCGCGGTTTTATACCGGGCTGGTTTCTAAAAGCAGGAGCCTGGACACTGGCAGCAGAGGTCCCGCAGCTACTCATTGGTGGCCCCTGCCCAGCCCTCCGCCCTGTTCTAAATAAAGAGGGTCTATAGGTTCAGATGGGTTCTCGGGGCCAGAACCGTGTGCTTGGGGATCACTTCCAGCCATGTGTCTGTTGATGAAGACCTTGGCCACACACAGGGCCCGTTCCCAGAGAGCTATGGGAACCCAGGTATCAACCTCCTTTGCTTTGGCAGGTCGGACACCGCCCCGGAGAAGTGAGCCCTTCCCAGCTCCCCCAGAGGATGGTGAGTTGGGCCGAGCTGGCCTGAGGACCAGGCCTTGCCTCTTGGTGCAACCCCTAGCCTACCCAGTGAGATGTTTCCCTGTACCTACCTAAAAGTGCCTACCCTGTGCCTGGCCCCAGGGAAGGCCCTGGGGCAGCTTAAGCCAGGCAGGCCTGCCTGCCCCTGGGGTGTGTGCTGCTGGGGACTGGGTATACTCAGGTACGGGGAAGCAAGGCTCTGAGAGGGCAGAGGGCCGGAAGGGCCGGGGTGGGGAGAATCAGGCCATCATCAGGACCCAGACCTGGAGCAGCAGCCAGAGAGCCCTGGCCAGGAGTTTGGGACTGAAGAAAGGGACCATCTAGTCTGTTTTGGGATGGCAAAGGGTCCACCCCAGCATCTCTGTCCTCCGGCTTCCATTGGGGACCCAGGGCTGCTGCGTTATCTTAGTGAGACTGTTTGCCGAGACCCTCTCCCCGTTTCCTGCTCACCCCTCACTCCTCTGTTGCCCTCTTCACACACTCCACACTCCTAATGGCAGGGTTGCCCGGAAGCTACTGGGTCCCATCTACACACACCCAAGGACAGCCCCTGCCTCAGCTCCCCAGGACCCTCCACCTGCTGATGAGCTCCCTGCACCCAGCTCCCTGGTTCCCTCTGTCCATCTGCTGGCGCCTGCTCCTTCCCAGTCACAGATGTCAGAATCCCGTCCCGACCTCTGACCTCCTCCCCTCAGGTCCTTCCCGTCTGACTACGAGCTTTTCTTTGTACTCCTAGACACAGCCACAGCCAAGGAGGCCTCAAAACCCAGCCCAGCCACGGATGTGCCAGTGCCGGTGCCAAATGTATGTCCGAGCAGAGAGGGCATCCTGTGGGTCTGAGCCAGGGTCGGGAGCTTCCTGTCAGGAAGGCCTGGGGCACCTGAGGGAGGCCTCGGGCAGTTGAGGGAGGACTCGGGCGGCTGAGGGAGGACTCGGGCGGCTGAGGGAGGCCTCGGGCGGCTGAGGGAGGACTCACTCGGGCGGCTGAGGGAGGGCTCACTCGGGCAGCTCTAGCTGAGTCTCTCTGCTCTCTGCAGCTCGAGGGCCCAGCCCGGCCTCCAGTCCTGACTTCCACTCCTGCCCCCAAGAGCGAGCCTGTCGTCATCCCCGCCACACGGAATGAGCCCATTGGCCTAAAGGCCTCGGACTTCCTGCCCGTGAGTGGGACCTACCCAAGAGGGGGGGTTGGGGGCTGAAAGGAGACTGGAGTGTGCCATCTGCTCCCGTGCCAGCATCTGGCTGCCATCCTCCTAGGCCGTGAAGGTCCCTCAGCAGGCAGAGCTGGTGGATGAGGATGCCATGTCACAGATACGCAAGGGCCACGACACCATGTGTGTGGTGCTCACCAGCCGCCACAAGAACCTGGACACTGTGCGGGCTGTGTGGACCACAGGAGATATCAAGGTAAGGGTGACCTCTTACCGCCTGTTGCGTGGGCTTCAGGCTGAACAGAGAGGAGGCCACACGGGGGCCCTGGGTACGGCAGCCTGGTGGTGTCACCGTCCGTCCGCAGCTTCCATCACTTGAGTCCTGATGTCAGGCTGTGCCCTGCCATCCCGGGTGGTGCAGTCTGTTAGCATGCCTCCAACCCTGTCTACCCCCATCCTGTGCCGCCCTCTTAATGGAGCTTGTCTGCAGACCTCAGTGGACTCTGCAGTGGCCATCAATGACCTGTCCGTGGTGGTGGACCTCCTGAACATCGTCAACCAGAAAGCGTAAGTGGCCTCGAGAAGAGAAGAACGGGGTGGTCAGGGCTGCCTGACGGCGTCACACCCAGCTCTCTCTCTAGCTCCCTGTGGAAGCTGGACCTGTGCACCACAGTGCTGCCCCAGATTGAGAAACTCCTGCAAAGCAAGTATGAGAGGTAGGGGCCCTCCATACCCTGGAGCCGTCAGAGTGGCAGTGGGCATGGGTGTGCATATGCCCATCTGTGGAGGATCCCCCTGTCTTCTCCCTGGCTCTGGGCCCGTCTGTATGACCCCATCTACCTTGCTCCTGAAGCTATGTCCAGACTGGGTGCACCTCCCTGAAGCTGATCCTCCAGAGGTTCCTGCCCCTCATCACCGACATTTTGGCAGCCCCACCTTCTGTGGGCGTGGACATCAGCCGAGAGGAGAGGTGAGGAGGGGGCGCCTCCTCCCCTGTGGGTGGCTGTGCCCAGACAGCTCGCAGAGAACACTGTCCGGGAAGTGGCTCAGGATGAATGGGTATGGCCCAAGCATGGGTTCCTCCGTGGTCTTGCTGGTCCCTACACACCGGCATGGCCTAGGGGACTTTTGTGCTCTTAGGAGGGACCAGAGGGGTCAGGGGAGCAAAAGCCCTGGCCTGCCGGGCATGATGGCCAGGTGGGGCGGCCATGGCGGCCAGGCGGGGCGGCCATGGCGGCCAGGCGGGGCGGCCATGGTGGCCGTCCTCAGGGCTGCCTTGTCCTCCAGGCTGCACAAGTGCCGACTGTGCTTCAAGCAGCTCAAGAACATCAGCGGCCTCGTCAAGAGCAAGTCAGGGCTGAGCGGCCGCCATGGCAGTGCCTTCCGCGAGCTGCACCTACTCATGGCCAGTTTGGACTGAGGACCTCAAGGCTGGAGCACCGGCGGCCCTCACTGGCCTGGCCTCACACTCTAGTCACTGTATGCCCAGGGCCCATGAGCCTCAGCCTGGCTTCCACTCTTGCCCTGACGGCCATCCTGGAGGCGGCGTGCCAGCCCACAGACCACCTCACAGCTGTGGACTCCGAACTTCCTCTCCGGCGGCAGCTGCACAGTCTTGCTTCTCAGGGCAACTCCAGCCTGGGAGCTGCTGCTGCTGTAACTTATCAGGCAGATTTATTAAATGTACAACTGTTCCTGACTTCCTTATTGGAGATATCCTCTGGCTCTCCCAGACACTGGCCCAGAGGTCTCCGCAGGTTGAGACCACCCTCCTCCAAGTCCCAGTGCAGCTTCCGGATGTGGCCAGCAGGGGGCAGCAGAGTGCCGGGTTCACAGTAAAGGGCTGCCCGGTCAGCTTTACTCTGGGGCCCGTGAGGCCACAGGTATCTTAGCCACACTCCCAATTGTCGTTGGGTTCCTTCGATGCCAGTGGATGCCCAGTCCAGTGACTGTGTAGCCAGATGGCAGGACCCCAGCCTCATGGCTAGCTACCACTAGGTTGGCTGAGAGCCATCAACCCTCCCTCTGACCTCTGGCTGCCCTGAGGGACTAGACAGGATGTTAGATGACCCTGAAGACTAGAGTGGCTCACACGGCCCACAGGAATCTGTGCTTCCTGGCTGGATGATGAGAGCCAGCCTCAGACTTAGTGGCATCCTGAGAGTTTGTCCTCCAGGACAGCTTTTAATGTGGCCAGCAAGAGGGGAGAAGGCTGGGGCCAGGCACGCATATGTAGAGGTGGGGACTGGGGTCATTTTTAGTGGCGCAGTTCCGAAGACTGGGAGAAGGGCCAGCACAGGGTGAGCAGTGGCTGGCACACCTGACAGACAGGTCTTTGAAGCTCCCGGAAGCCTCAGGTCTCCATCTGTGACATGGAGATGACACCACTCTGGGGGACGATGGGACAGTGGTTCCAGGCACACAGTGGGGTATTCAGTTAGGTCATAACCAAAATGATGGAAGAGGCATGGGACAGTGAGACTCCTGGGGAACACGTGGTCTTGAGTGGTAGCTTCTCGAGTCTGCGTGGTCAGGCAGCAGGGGGCAGGAGGACATGTAATGTCTCCTCTCCGTGACCCCCACACAGGGTCTCCCAACACCAGTGACTCAGACTGTGCTTGTGTAAAAAGACATTAACTTTAATAAGTAAAAATGGCTAAGCTTCCAAAAGTTCTTAAATAGGATTCGGGGAGAGGAACATGTTGAGAATCAGTGGGCAGGGAGAGTGCCTGGTGTCAGGCAGATGAGCAGGACCCGGCCCCGTCCACTGGCCTCTGCCAGCCATAAATACAGCCCAGACCCCACAGGGTGAGGGCTCCTATATACACCTAGGAACATTATGTACACGCTCCAGTGAGGGGTCCCCTCCTCAGGAGGGCGAGCAGAGATGCTCTTGCTCTCCCCAACCCCCAGCTGGTTCCTCAGCCGTGCCCACTAGTAGGGGCCACCCTCCCCTGCAAGGGATGGACTTCCATGGCCTCGGCCTCCCAGGCAGAGGGCCATCCCTGCCCTTCCAGAAGCCCATGCCTGGGTGCCTAGAGCCACACAGAGACTCGCTTCCTTCTGAACATGTTTCTCATCTCTGAGGATAGGCAGGGCGGGAGGGCCTCCACACGGGCCTCCGTCTCCTGCATTCATGGTAGGTGTTACAGCAGGAGCCAGCCCGGGCTCCAGGCCTGGCAGCATGACACGTCCTCACACAGGCACTGGCCTCAACTTCCCTGAAAAAGAAGGGAGCTCTCAGCCTCCTGCCTCGGCAGCCGTGCCCACAGCAGATGCAGAGCAAGAAGCCAGCAGAAGCACATGGCAGCAGGCAGCAGAGGACAGGCCCAGCTCTGTACAACCGAGCCCTGGCAGAGCGAGCCCGCAACCAACAGCGGAGAGCAGGCGGGCAGCCCCCGGCCGCTGGCCCACACTCACCTGGAGACCACAGTCCCAGCCGTCAGGCTGAAATCAAAGTGATAGACATCTCACTTAGCAGGGTTTGGGCCCAGCTGCCACCACCCCTTTTGGACCCAATGAGGAGGCCTGGCGAACCCCAGGTCACAGCCCTGTGATGAGGCCTCTTTCCCACTGGGGATGGCTGGGCTGCTTGGTGGGAGGTGGGGACAGAGGCAGGTAGGAGAGGTGCCCTGCCCTGCGGAGTGATGTACTGACTCAAGGATATACTGACTCAAGGGCAGGGCCTTGAGTCAGTACATCCTAGGAGCTTCTAGGACCAGATTCTTTGTCACCCTCTCCAGGGGCCCGGGACTCAGTGAGACAGTTCTGCCCTCTGACTCCTGTCCAGAGCAGGCAAGAGAGGGAGACTAGTTATAAACATGGCTTCGTGTGCTAGGCAAGCAGCTTCCCTTCTGGGGGTCCACTGTCACTCTATAACCTTCACTGGTCTGGAACTCACTGTGTAAACCATGCTAGCCCAGAACTGGAAGTCCTTCTTTCTGCCTCTGCCTCCCAATGCTAAAGGCTCAGACACAAGCTACCATGCCTACCTCTTTTTAAAAATTCTATTCTGAGACTACATTGGCCAGACTGGCCTCAAACTTCAGCCCTTGTTTCAGCCTCCCAAGGAGTTGAAATTACAGGTGGGGGCGGCCACTGGGCCTGCCTCACAGGCTTTTTCTCCCCCTTTAAAAGCAGTTTAGCCTCATCTAGGAAAGGGCAGCCTGGCACTGTGACCACCGACGTGGGGAAGGCTTGCTGCCCTCCGGCCTCCCACCCAGTCCACTCCCAGGCAGGCTTACCCGATGGCTGCAGCTTCCTGCGGATGGAGCCCGGGCGGCTGTTGGTCCCAGAGCCAGGGGCAGAGTGGGCTCGAGCTGTTGGCTGTGGGGTCTGGCAAGCTGGCTCCCACTGTGAGCAGAGAAGGCCCTGAGCTGTGGGAGCCACGGCTGTCCTGGCTCCTCCCCTCCATACACTGTTTCCCTGACAATGCTCCCTCACCTACAAAGGGGACTGATGACTCCTGCCTTGAGAAGTCAGCACAGGAATATCCATGAAGGAGGAAATTAATTTGTGTTGTACATCTACAGTGGGCCACTGCTGCCCTCCCTCCCCACCCCCGAATAAAGATGGCCTAAAGGGGCCACTGGAGCTGGGTATACTTGGCACATGCCTTTAATCTTAGCAATCAGAAAACGGAGGCAGGCAGATCTCTGATTTTGAGGCTTTCTAGTCTACAAAGCAAGTTCTAGGACAGTCAGTGCTACATGATGAGAGCCTGCCTCAAAAACCAAAAGCACCACTGGGTTCCAGCTTCCCCCACCACACGATCCTGTCCACCCCCGCCCTACTCAGTACCAGCCTGAGCCAGGCCCACAGGGGACCCTTCCCTCCTCCCCCGCACCTCCAGATGCTCCTGGCTTGACCAGGAACCCAGCTCTGTGCGGCGGGACCCAGGTCCCAACTCCACGGATCGAACCCTTTCAGCGAACTTGAGGGAGTACAGGGTCTCGCTGGTGTTCTTCTCCACTGGGGACACCTGGGGGACAGAGATTCCAGGTCCAACCCATGCCAGCTGTCTGCCCCCGGGGCACAGGAGCGGGCAGCATGGTCACTAGAGGGTGTTCTGCCCAGGGAGACCACCAGGGACAATGAAATGGCAGAAGGCCAGAGGCATGGGGAGAGATTTATGCACTGCATAGAGTGTTGGCAGGGTCCGTGTGGGAATTGGGGGGGGGGGCGGCTGGCAGCCTGGGGACGCCCTTCCTGAACCCCAGGCCCTCACCTGCACCACCATGAGAGTCTTGCTGTCACCACTGAGAGAGTCCTGCAGCAGGTAGGTGAGCTTGGAGTTTCGGAAGGGCACGTGGCCCTGTCGGGAACGCAGGGCAGCAATGACATCCCCCAGGGCAGACAGTGACCTGTTGATGTGCTGTGCCTCTCGAAGACGGTTGCCTTCAGCCCCTGACTTGCCCACACGCTCCGAACCAGCCAGGTCCACCAGGTTCAGCTTCCCTGCGGGTAGGGCAAAGGGCAGGTCAGCACCGCTCAGAGGGTACCCACAGAGCGCTTGACCAGTATGCCAGGCAGGGCAAAGGGCAGGACAAAGGGCACCGCTCAGAGGGTACCCACGGAGCACCTGACCGGGATGCCGGGCAGGGCAGAGGGTACTACTCAGAGGGTACCCATGGAGCACCTGACCGGGATGCTGGGCAGGGCAAAGGGCAGGACAAAGGGCACCACTCAGAGGGTACCCACAGAGCGCCTGACCGAGATGCTGGGCAGGGCAGAGGGCACCGCTCAGAGGGTACCCACAGAGCGCCTGACCCGGATGCCCACTGTGTGTCTCTTACCCGTGGTGCGGAGGCCTGTGCTGCAGTCCACACCACGCACTGTGACGATGAGCAGAGCGTGTGAGCGGGAGCTGTGTTCGTTCAGGTTGGTGAACTCCGTGGTACGGTTGTTATAGCCATACTCAAACACCTGGGGGGCAAAGGCAGTGGCTCCTTTGGGAAGGGCAATGCCACCTGTATTATTATACACTGAAGTTTATTTGGGTTTTTTTGTTGTTTGGTTTGGGGGGAAACAAGTTCTTACTATGTACATCAAGCTGCCCTCCAGCTCACAGAGATCTGCCTGCCTTTTCCTCTCAAATACTGGGATAAAAGGGTGTACCATCATTATCTGGCTACTTCTTTGTTTTGAGACAAGGTCTCACTATGCAGCCTTGGCTGGCCTGGAACTCCCTATGTAAAGCAGACTGATCTCAAACCCACAGAGAGCCCGAGTCCGAAGATTAAAAGCGTGTACAACTGGCCACTCGAAATTTTTTTGGGCAGGGTCTTGCTAGGTAGCAGACTGGATTCAGATTCATTGTTCTCCTGCCTTTTCCTTTCAGATGAGGAAACAGGCTTCGAGAGGCCGAGGGACTCAAGCTGCCTAGTCAGGTGGGGACAGAGGCCACGCGTGAGCCCGGTTCCGTCCTCCAGAGCAGCTGTTGGTGGCCAGGGTCTCCCCACGCTTTCCCAGTCCCCCTTACCTTGTTGATGTCATCCACACTCTGCACCCGGAACTCCGTCAGCCCCGGCACATAGAGCTGCCCACTGCCATCTGGGCACAGTCGGATCTCCAGCTTCTCCTGAGGCTCTTTCCCCAGCAGGTCTCTGGAGGGGCAAGCAGGACATTACTTCTCCTCTCCCACTCCAGGTCTCTGCTCCCACGGCACCCAATCCCTAGCCTGGACTCTGCCCTCACAATCAATCTTGGGCCATGAAGTTGGGGGCCTTTCCTCTTCATTGTTGTTTCTCCCCTGTACTTGGGGGTGGGGAGGGTGGCACACCCCGATTTGGCAGGGGTCCCCACCTCCATCCCTACCCAGCACAGTGCAGCCCACAACAGGAAAAGGAGCCCAGATATGAGAGGAGGACCCACCTCCTAGGTTTGGTCAAGCCAGCTCTATCTGGAGGCTAGACCTGGAGACCAGGAAGCCCCGGCCCCCGCCCCTCAGACCTCTGTCCCAGGCCCACCTGAGGACCTCATTGTAAATCTCGGCCGCGCTGACGGTGATGTCATACTGCCAGTCAGATGCCTTCTCCTGCACCTCAGAGAACAGCAGCTGCAGGGCCCGCTGATTAATGCCTGGATTCTCGGGAGTCCCCTGATGGCAGAAGGAAAGGCCCAGTGGCCCTTCAGATGCTCACACAGAGTCTGCCACCCCGTGCCCCCAGGTGCCCTCACGGTGAGCCTCCCTGCTGCAGGCCGGGCTGCTCTCAGAATACCTGGGTATTCGACTAAGATTAAGCAAGTTTCTCACCCCCTTCGTTCCCCGGCTACCAGGGAGGCAGTGAGAAGGAAAGTTCAGTGGGGTGAAGGGCCTGGACTGCCGGCCCTGCTGAGCACCAGGGCTTGTGGTCACTGGGCCTCCTGGAAGGGGCGGTCAAAATGAGCAAACTGTCCACCATTGCCCACAGGGAGGCTCTGTCGGGGAGGCCAGAAGCCAGCTGTGTGGGTGAAGTAGATAAGGCTGGATGAAATGGCCACCGTTCAGAAACTATCTGGAGCCCCACCTGGGCCCTAGAGGCCTCTCCTCCCCTTCGAAGGCACCTCCCTCAGCCCATTCCTGTGTGAGGGCCGCTTCAAGTGGTTATGAGAATAAGGCAAAGCATACACTGTGCAAACCCCAAAGACGACGTAAGAAGCTGGGTCCCTCGGCCCCTCCCCACGGGGCAAACACCCACCTCCATCGTGTATGTCTTGCCGGCGCCCGTCTGGCCATAAGCAAAGATGCAGACGTTGAAGCCATCAATGCAGGAGGTGATGAGGGCCTGCACCTCTTGGAACACCTGGGGGGACACGGGGCAGGGCCAAAGGGCTTCCAGTGCTGCTGGCGTGTGGGGGCCCACAGCCCCAACTTCAGCCACCTCCCAGCGAAGGCCTCCACCAATGAGAACCAGACCACGGTGGAGGATTTAACCACCATCACCAGCACAGGGTTTGGGGCCCAATCCCGGCTTGTTCATTCTCAGGGAGGACTTGAGCAAACCAAGGCAGAGGACAGCATGTGCCGAGCACATGCTCTGGCTTGGGCCTGCCTGAGCCCCAGCAGGGAAGAGCAGATGTGGGCCACACGAGCAGAGAGGAGTGTGCAGCTGTGACCCCCACGGATCTCATGTTGCTCGGCCTTGACACTGGGGGGGTCAGGGACAGTGGGCAGTTCTAGAACGTCCCATGGTACTGCTACAAGAAAGGAACTCGGGGCAGGGGAGGCCACCCCGGGTCTTGAGGTGGAAGGAGCCATAGGGATGGGCAGAGCCACGGTCCCTGGGTAAGGCAGGGTCCGTGTGGATCTCTCGCCCTAAGGCCTCCGGTGGTACCTTTCCACCCTCTTCCTCCCAGATGGAAGAAGAGTGACCACGCTCCTCCACTCTCAGGTTGTCTTTTTCACCCAGCCTTGACCCTGTCCTTGTGGTTCTGCCCTTCCCTCTGCTGTTCCTTCCTCGTCCCTGCAAACGCCCTGCACGGAGCCACACTCACATCCTGCTGTGAGGCCCACGGGGAGAAGACCTTGTCCAGCTCGAAGGACACAGGCTTGCCCTTGTGCAGCAGGTGGATGATGGAGTCATCATCCGGGTCAAAGGTCACAGCGTTGGTTGCCTCCGGCCCCTCCCCATCCTCCTTGGTGACTGGCCGGACTCGCGCAATCACCCGGATGTTTCCTAGGTTGAAGATGGAGAGATGGAGTGGATCATTGTGAGACTGTAATCCCAGGCGGACCAGTGGCCCGAGAGTTCCCTCTTTTAGGCAAAGTCCTGGGAGCAACTTCTTATTAATCACTCAGACCGTTGTATGAATGTACTTAGTACATTTTCTTCCTGAGCAGGCAAATTCAGGGTGTTTTGCCTCAGGCACTGCAGCCAGACTTGGTTAACACTCTCCACGGATTTGGGTTTCCTCATCTATTCAAGGAGGAGCCTGGACTCCATAAACCAAGGGGTTTGTTCTGTTTAATCTAAAGGGGCACAGGGACTGCTCGGCAGAACTTAGGTACCAGATGGGAGGAAAGGACAAGGCAAGAGAAGGGTGGCTGGCAGTGTTTCCAGTGGCCACGGGCTCCCAGCCCTGGGGATGGGACACGGCAGGGTTCTCTGGGTGACTGGTAACCGCTGTCTCTTCTCCCAGTCAACATGAGCATGGTGAGGGCTGTGATCTGGGGCCACAGCGGGCTCCCCAGGGTCTGTGACAGGAGCTGACACAGCAGCTGCTCCCTAGAGCTCAGGGCAGAGATCGGTGAAGCTCCAACCTGGAACAAGTGCTTCTACTGCCCTACTGTGCCCTACCACATCCCCCAGGCCTGGGAGGACCTGCCATGGACAAGGAGCTTGAAGATAATGAGTTCAAATCCAAGGTGGACCATTTATTAGGTGCGTGTCTTTAAGCAAGTTTCCTGACCTTTCTGGGCCCCTGAATCCTCATCGGCATCAGAGCACAGTTCTCCGAGTAACAGCCATGCAGCCCAGCATACTCACCCTTCAGCCGCACCAGCTCATTGTGGCATTTCTTGCGCAGCTGCAGTTCCCGGCGGTACTTGCGCAGCAGCTCTTGGTTGTTGCTATTAACCTCCTCGATGGCCTGGCCAATCTGGGGAGCATGCACACTGCCGTCAGAGGCCTGGTCCCCTCAGCTTCCCTTCACTGGCCACCTGGCCTGATGACCAGGTTACCCTCACCTGCCCAGGCTGAGCACCCAACACACACTATCACAGCAGACCGACCTCTCCCAGCAATCCCTCTGAGGAGGCAGAGTCAGCACCCCATCTTATAGACAAGAAAAAAACTGAGCTCTAGGCAAAGAATAGGCCAAGCCCTGGAACTGGAGGACCTGGCTGCAGCGAGACGCAGCTACACTCACATCGAACCCTTCCCCAGGAGTGATGCTGCTCAGAGTGCCCTGGGCCTGGTTCCTCACCACGTCCGTCTGTCACTGACTTAATTATTTAAATAACTCCTTTCCTTCTCCCAGATCATCTCTGTCTCTGCAGAGCTGTCATATGAACTTGGGAAGCCAAGGCTATAAAAGCCTCAGCCACACGGGAGGCACCTAAGAGACACCGGCTGTCTCACACTGTGAGGACGGCTTTAGAAACCGAGCCCCTAGGGACGAAGCTTGGTGGTAGGGCATTTGCCCACCAGGTGTGAAGCCCTGGGCTCCATCTCAGCATAGCATGACAAAGTAAATAAACACAGTGGTCCAGGCATGGTGGCGGAAGCCAGTGAGTACAACACTCAGGGGGCTGAGGCAGGAAACCACGGAGTCAAGGTCAGCCTGAGTAGCGAGACCCTGTCTCAGATAAAAGCTAAATAGATAAACAAACCTAATAGATATAAGGGTACTGTAGCATGGAGGAGAGCTGTGAGAGGAATGAATGTCTTCTGGGAACAAGGCAAGAAGCTGTTGCGTGGGGCTCTGAACAAAGATGGCCGGCCTCTCCCACTAGCTCCCACCAGGCTTGCTCACCTCAGCTTTGACACTCCTGAGCGCCTCCTGCAGCAGCAGCGGGAAGCCCCGCACCTGCCGCTTGAGCCCATTGTAGTCATTGGTGAGGGTCCTCAGGGCAGGCTGCAGAGTTAGCAGGTTAGTCCTCACACCTATGGGCAAAGGTGTCAGACATGTGGGCTTCGAGGCGG